GATCGTGGATAATTTTCGATCTTTTGAACAATTGTAACCGCGAATAATTTTTGAACTTGTACGATTGCGAACGTAAGTATTTTCCGATCTTAGACAATTGTGATCTTGGATAATTTTAGATCTTGAACAGTTGTGATCTTGGATAATTTTCGATCTTGGATCATTTTATTTTCGATCTTGAACAGTTGTGATCTTGGATAATTTTCAATCTATTTTGATCGTGAGTAATTTGTGATAACGTTACTATTCACGACCAGAATTATTCACGATGATAATTGTTCACCATCACAACTGTTCACGTTCAAAATTTTCGACGATTGCAATTTGCAATTACATATATTCGTGCTTGCAACTGTTCACGATGGCACTGTTCACGATCACAACGATTCAATAATGCAAGTGTTCAAGATCGAGAATTATTCGCAATCACAATCGTTCACGATGGCGATAGTGATGATAACGATTCACAATCACAATTTGACAAGTTCAAACATTATTTGCGATCACAATTGTTCAAAAGATTGAAAATTTATCACGATCACAATTGTTCAAGGTCAAAAACTATCCACGATCATAATCCTTCAAGATTCAAAATAATCCATGATTAGAATTGTTCACAATAGAAAATTATCCACGATCGACAAACTGTTCACGGTCACAACCGTTCAAGATCAAAAATTACTCACGATCACAATTGTCCTAGATCGAAAATTACTTACGATCACAATTGTTCGAGTTCAACAAATTAATCGCGATCACAATTATTCAGGATCACCATTGTTCAAGATCGACAATTATCCACGGTCACAATTGTTCAAGATCGAAAACTACTCACGACCACAACTGTTCAAGTTCAAAAATTACTCGTAATCGCAACTGTTCAAAAGCTACAAAATACCTCTATCACAATCGCCAAAAATCGCAAATTATCTAAAATCACAATTGATCGTGTTCATTGTGTTCCACAATGTCAACTGTTCACAATAGCAATTGTCCACCGAGGATGAAAGTTAAAAATTTCACTCGACCCAAATCCGGCAACTTTCAGCTACCGTCGTATCTTGAGATAAAAAATGGAAGGTTCACCGATCGTTTCGACGGTTTTACCGTTGCCAGAAATCTCCGGCATAAAAACCGCAAGATACGTCGCTCGCAAAGTGTCCATGTGCAATAAATAATGCACAATTACCTGATCCGTGTCGGCATCGATGGGCGCCCCGCGCGCGGAATACGAATTGCTCGTCAAACCGATATTAATTCCCGTTGCCGGTGGCTTCGACATTGTACGATAGCTGATAATAATAGTGATTACTTGGCCACCGACGGACACCATCGTGCCGCGTTACTTTTACACGGCGAGAAGATGGTAAAAATGTCACTGTTCGACGGCTGTTCGAAGGCGGAGCACGCCCGAGGCTTTGCGAAATTATTAAACTCACGGGAAATCGATTTTGCAAAATGAAAGTCCGCGTGAAAGATTTTCACTCGGTGCAGCGCCGATGGAATTTTATATTACCGCGGCGATTAATCAGATTTAATATAATGTCAATATTGATTTTGAATTTAGCGAAGAATTCGAGGAGTGGGGGACGCATTCTATCGACGCAGAGTACAGTTGACGTGGAATGCAACCGATGTAAAATGCAATCTGCGGAAGATGCAGTTGATGCGAAATGCAATTGATACGGATTGTAATTAGTGCCGAGTGCGACCGACGTGGAATGCAACTGGCGCAGAATGCAATTTATGTAGAACGCAATTCGTGAAAAATGCGATTGTTGCAGGACGCGATCAATGAAAAATGCATTTCATGCAACCGACGACATTGTTCGGCTGTTGCAAAATCCAATTGATAGGGCATAGAGGCAATGAATGGTTCGATTGATACAGAATACAGTTCATGCGTGTAAGTTAAGTGTGATGCATAATGCAGTTGATACAGTTTATAGAGAATACAGTTAATGCAGAATGCGATTAATGCAATTATGCAGTTAATACAATTATACAGTTGTTGCGAAATTCAATTAATAAATTTATGCAGCTGCGGAAAAATGCAGTTAGTACAATTATGCAATTATTGCAAAATGCAATTAATATAATTATGCAGTCGTTGCAAAATGCAATTGATACAATTATGTAATTGTTGCAAAATGCAATTAATACAATTATTCAGTCGTTGCAAAATGTAATTAGTACAAGTATGCAATTGATGTCAAATGCAATTAATACAATTATGCAACTGTTGCAAGATGCAATTAATGCAATTATGCAATTGTTGCAAAATACAATTAATGCAATAATGCAATTGTTACAAAATGCAATTAATACTATAATGCAATTGTTGCAAAATGCAAGTAATACAATTATGCGGTCGTTGCAAAATGTAATTACTATGATTATGCAGTCGTTGCAAAATACAATTAATACAATTATGCAGTCGTTGCAAAATGCAATTAATACAATTATGCAATTGATGCAAAATGCAATTACTACAATTATGCAGTCGTTGCAAAATGCAATTAGTACAAGTATGCAATTGATAAAAAATGCAATTAAAACAATTATGCAATTGTTGCAAGATGCATTTAATGCAATTATGCAATTATTGCAAGATGCAATTATTACAATTATGCAATCATTATAAAATGCAATTAATACAATTATGCAATCGTTGCAAAATGCAATTAATAAAATTATGCAATTGTTGCATGTTGCAATCGTCGTAAAATGCAGTCAGAGGGAAATGCAATTGCTGTAAAATGCAATTGTTTCGAAAAGCAGTTTGTCGAATAAAAAACAGTCGCCGCAGAAAATATTTATATTTTCCAAAACCATTTGCAAATCTGCGAAACAACAAAAAATTGATTTAATCAATTCATGCAACTTTGTTTTTACTTTCGCCACGAATTGTTTCATAGTCAGTTAAAAAATTTCAAAAAAATCTCAAAGAAATGAGCAGCATAAGTGAGAATCTGCGGCGAAGCAAATTTTTTAATTAAAAAATTAATTTATATGTTATTTTATACTCGACTAGAAACGTACATCTAGCGATTGCCCTCGCGCAGGTAAAACGAGCCGAAGAATTACAGGTGAACGAGCTTCTCAGTTCGCTCGCGATTAAGTCCGTGAAACCCCGACGCGATCGTTCCGCGGCCAACGGCGGTCGCGTCTCCTTATTAGCGCGAAGTATTCATATTTCATGTTTGAATAGGTTAATATCGGTGCGCCTTCCTCTCGGCTATTCAGTTGCGAAGTCCTTTGTCTCGGCGCTGCCGGCGCGGCGGTGGAAGTCTCCGAGCAGGACTCGGGATAACCGATGATTAACGCTGGCGACATTTTTCGTTCGCGTCACCTGTAAATCATTCTCCAATTTCGCGGTTACCTATGCAACAAACCCGGCGAACAAAAGCATCGGACCATCCTCGCGTCGGCTCGTAATTCAGTGTCTAATTGCTCGCGTGACGCAACCTGATTAACAGAACGAGCAACGATGCCTGCGCGGGTTAGGTACTTCCGGTCTGTGTGATCTTGCGCGTCGTTAAACGGAAAATGCGAAATGAAAAGAATTATTGTAGGATTGGAAAAGTTAGTAAGTCTTGTAAATTAGTAAATTAGAGCTTGCAACGGTGCTTCGTGGATCTTTCTGTCGAATTGGACACTTTACAAAATTTAGTTCGACTTAAAATAGTACATGTTGGATTTTTCTGTCCAATTAGAAAAATTACACAATTTAATAGAGCTTGAAACACGGCCTTGACGAGCTTTTTTGTTGAATTAGAAAAATTAGGAAATATTTCTGGTGCTTGAGACAGCTCTCGTTAAACTTTTCTGTTGAATTTGTCACGACAGAAAGATTAGTTGAGCCTGAAACAGTACGTGTTGGGCTTTTCTGTTCGACTAGAAAAATTATAAAATTTAGTAGAACCGGAAACAAGCTTGATAGGCCTTTTTATTGAATTAGAAGAATTAGTAAATATTTCCGGAGCTTGAAACAGCTCTCGTTAAGCTTTTCTATTGAATTAGCCACACCAAAAAATTTAGTTAAATCTAAAACAGTACATGTTGGACTTTTCTACTCAATTTAAAAAATGAAACAATTTAATGGAGCTTCGCACAAGCTTAATTGGCTTTTTATCAAATTAGAAAAATTAGAAAATATTACCGGTGCTTGAAGCAGCTCTCGTTAAGCTTTTCTATTGAATTAGCCACACCAAAAAATTTAGTTCAATCTAAAACAGTAGTACATGTTGGACTTTCCTACTCAATTAAAAAAATGAAACAATTTAATAGAGCTTCGAACAAGCTTAATTAGCTTTTTATCAAATTAGAAAATATTACCGGAGCTTGAAGCAGCGCTCGTTAAATTTTCCTGTCGATCCGAACAATCTGTTACAATTAATCAGAGCCTGACGCAACCCTCGTTTAAACGAAACATCGATCGTAAAGCTTGACGCACAGTCGGGCACGACGAAAACCGTTAAGGAATTTCGATTAAAAATCGACCGCGCGCCGTTTCCGATCAGTTTCTAATCGCCGTAAGAAACGGCATGGTGAAAAGCGATTCTTAGAGCCCTGTCCGCGCGGAATGGATTACTAATCGTCGGAGGCACTCGGCCAGCAAAAAACCGCGGACACAGGTCAGCCGCGTCATCCGCTTCCCGGTGACGGCTTTTGAGACAAAGCGCTCGTTGTCCGACGATTATTTGCTCTCAAATATTGCTGCTTCACACCCGGCACTCGAACGCCTCCTGTCTCGCCACGGGAGACAGCGTGGCCCTCTCCTCGGCCGGCCACAAGCACGCCGTTCTCGTCGCCTTCGTTTCTTGCCTGCTCCTCCTCCTCCTCTTCCCCCGCCGACCCTTTTATCTCTGATAAAGGCGCGTCACGTCTTCGGTACGTACTTGTCCGGCCGCTTCCGTGTGGTCCGCTTGTTATTCCCCGCGTCGACGGCCCGTCAAATTCGCCGGTTTCTCGGAGATGCAACGGTGTTACTGGGACGAAGCCTTGTTCTACGTTCTGACGCTTCATATTTTCCCGTCGTAATGAGCCGACGTGTGCTGCGACGCGTTGAAAAATCGCGGAGGCAGAAAATATTCTGCAAACGACGGCGAAGTGGAACGAAGTTGAACGCTGATTTTTATTTCCGAACGGTGGAACGAAGATAAAGGCGACATTGAACGATAAACAGAGTGCAGATAAGACGAATTCGCGACGGAAGTGCAGAGATCAAGTTTCAAGCGGTGGAATGATTAACGCTGGAACTATTAAAACGGTTGAAGCGGTTGATATCTGATTTTTTGGAAAAAGATGTTTTCAAAAAAAATGTTTCTAGGGTAAATCTTTGTTATATGTATTGTAATATAAATTGTGCGATAGTTAAGTAAATTCAGTCTTGGCGTTATTATAAAACAATGTGCAAAAGTAACTATGAATGTAGATGAATTGATTTCAACTCGTTAAAATTACTCCAGAAAGGAAACAAATGATACTACAACATTATGTAACTTCCGAGAAACAAGAGGTTCCTGAGCTCATTTGAAGTAACTTTTTCCTTAGCGAAAATATTCTGCGAGGCTTCGTTTACGAGTTATTAACGAAAAACACTGACCAATCGGAGAGCGAGGGTGGCCGGCGCTTCGCCCTCGCGGCCAATGCCGTGTCGCGCTGGTCGTCTGACGCAGGAGCAGTGATTGCGAGGGCGGGGCGTCAGCCGTACGTGATCTCTCATTGCTCAATGTTCTTCGTTAATAACTCATAAACAAGCAGAACATTTTCGCAAAGGAAAAAGTTGCTTCAAATGAGCTCATGAATCTATCACTTCCCGAAAGTACCATAATTGTGAGACAACCTGTATACTGCTCTAAATTCCTTCAAGATCAGGAGTTTTTTTTGGATATCTAGATCGCGCGTCCAAAATTTCGCAAAAATTTCCAGATACACTACGAACTATCTAGTTTGATGCTGTAAAATTTAGAAAACCAAATAAAGTCGTACAAGTTACATGTTCGCTAATATATTGCACATTGTACTGCAGCGATAATCCATGCATCCTGCAAGACCGAACGCTGTTCTCGAAGATATAAAACGCATATTAAACAAGTAAGTTTAGAAATTCATATTTCAGATATTCAGAGTTCTATTTTAAAACAGACAGTAACACCACATCTTCCCAGTGATCATCGATTTCAAAGAACTTCGATTTCAAAGAAGTTGCGTGTTTTCCTGTTTCGACGTTCATTCGCTTGGCTTCAGGCTTGCGGCATCAGGAATTCGTTGCGACATTTCGAGGAGGGCCACGGCGTAGACGGAGTTACGTGTGCTCCATTAGAGTCGGATCTCCAGAAGCATGTAGCAACACGTGAATTGGGGAACCTGCGTTCGAACGTACGGCAATCGTATGTAAACGCCGAGCTTGATAAAAAAAGCGGTAGTACGCAGCGTCTAAGGTTATCAGAACCGCAGCCTATAAACAAATCGACCGACGGCTCGCACGAAATCAGTTGACCATCTCCAGCGACTGTAGAAACACCGTGCAACATGTGGACGAAATTGACCGCTCTGCTCTTGCTGTTCGCCGTCGCGACGTCTGTGCTCCTCGACGAACCAGGTGAGCCGTCTTCTCGAAATTCGAGGAACGCGAACGCTTCGCTGCAACTTCTCAGTCGCTTTGATCTGTACAAATGTTGAGCTGCTTGGCTTAAATGTGTTAATTTTTCGGTGCAGAAAGGAGATGCGTGGATGGGAAAAGTTATAACGATGGATGCAACTGGTGCAACTGTATGGGAGGATTGACGG